TGCAAACCTAGTTCTTTTAATGTGCTGCCACCGCCAAGCGAATCATCCTCAAAAAATATATTATTTGAAAGAAATGTAACTAAACCATACCATGTTTTTTTGCCAGTAAATCTAACGTTTGTTTGATAAAGAGTATGGGGTTGTTCACATACGACACAGTTGACAGTCTTCGAGGAGTAATTTTAGACAAATGTAGTGCAGCAATTCAGCAAGATTTGAGTTGGATCTTTTATTCTGTAAGAAGAGTTTCATAGTTTATCGGAGCACAATCTTCGCCGACGCACTAAGATATTTAGTTCATTAATCCATTTTTTTTGACACTTTCACTACATTAATAGAAAGGAGAGGACTGAAAGCTAAAAACATCGATCATTCCAAAAATTTAGTAAAATATCTCTTTATGTGCACTAGGCGATTTTCGAGGACTGTTCGTCTTCAGATAGATTACAAAGAGCAAAGGCGAATTATATGTTATGTGAACATCTACTATTGACATGCTTTTTTACAATAATTCACCCCGTTGCAATTCATAACTAACACACAAAGAACCAGAAAAGCAATACTAACGAACGGTTTTACCATTGTTCTAAACAGAAGAAATGGTGAACATTATCAGGTTATAATCTGCTTGGCTATCTCATAACCGTCTACAAAACCTGTATCTTAACTTTGAGACTTTAATCGTTTCCAAATATTCCTAAAAGATCTCCAGAATTGCAGGCAAAAGTTCAAAGCCATTAGACTATCTCTGCATTTGGGATTTTTCAAAGCCCTTGCACTTGAAACCTTTTCTCGACCCAATAATATTTTTGGCCTAACTAGTGATGTTTGTAGTTTTACCTTAGGAAAGTTTCAAACATTGCTACTATCTTCCATCAACGGACGGGTCTTGTATTCAGTAGGTCCAACGAATCGAAAAATCTAAGCGACCTTAGCTAACGTATTCTTTGTTGCTTACATGTTATTTATGGTATTTAATCACCACAATTAATCTGACAGCAAAACGTCGTTCGGATTTCTCGTGCGAGAGTCCACAAAAGTCTAATACCAATAATTGAAAGCGATGGTTTTATTTCTATGGAAAGTCTAGTAATAATGATCTAGCTGATCAACAAATCAATAAATAACGCACATATCGATTTTTCTTCCTCGGATGAATGATCAGCATAAATAATAAATGCGGTTCTCTGTCGACACCCTTTATCAAACAAACATTAGATTTACTGGCAAAAAAACATGGTATGGTTTAGTTACATTTCTTTCAAATAATATATTTTTTGAGGATGATTCGCTTGGCGGTGGCAGCACATTAAAAGAACTAGGTTTGCAAGTTGCAACGGGCACGCATTCTGGTCACTATTCTTGTCCGAATGCAACCACTATAGCTGCTGTTGCTATCGGCTATGTATATAAAAATGCAAAAGAGTCAGTATTGAAATCAGGCGCATTAGCAATACACAATTTTTATTTATATTTAACAAAAGATGGTCAGTCATGTACAGGAAAATTTATATTTGCAATTTATCCTCCAGGCTCGAATCCTTTGTCGAATAATATTAAACCATTGCTAAAAAGTGGTGTAGCAACATTAACATGCGACAGACTTAAGCCCAAAGGTTTAACTATGCCGTATCAATATATCAGTATATATACATGTATATATATTGATATATTGATACCGTTTACAATTTATATTGTATATACAATATAAATTATAAACGGTACTTTTGATTAATTCAGCGCATGTTCCGATGTCATCAGAACCGCTAAAATACCCCCGGTTACCGCACCGGTCACCGACGAATATAATGGGAGGTTAACCTAATGGACATGTGAAATTACCATGTGCAGAGTTTTCCTCACACACATACACACTCTGATACAGCGTACATCATACAATGGAAGGCCTTGCATAAAGCATATCAAACAGGCAAGAATATAAGGCCTTGCATAAAGCATTTCAAACAAACAAAATATATGAAAGATTATTTTCTCATTGAAACTAGAAAAAAGTAACTATTTTGAGATAAATCCGGATTATCTCAGTCCAGGATATATATATATATATATAAGAGACATGATTTTTTCTTACAGAAACTTAAATTTATTCTTACAAATATTTCTTTATATAACAGCAACGTGCACACTTCGAAAACATATTGTTCTTGACAGCAGAGTTCTAAAGTTCGAGATCCTACGAGTCGAGTACATACCAGAGGTAGGTGGTGGACGAAGATCCTCACGAGAAAGGTGTTTTGAAAGCTTATAAAGTAATAACAGTAATAAGTAATAAAAGTAATAACTTTATTACTTATTACCAGTAATAAGTAAAAAACATGGAAAAGTAATAAAAGTAATAAGAAAGTAATAAAGTAATACGTATACAAGTAAGTCTTTAGGGACTGTCTAGTGATTGTCTCAATAACTTTTCAAGGACTACTTAGGGATAGTCTTTATAACTTCTCAGGAGCTACCTAGGCGCGGTTCGTATAACTTTTCAAGGACTATCAAGAGGTAGTCCTAATAACTTTTCATAGTCCACTTAGGAATAAACCCTATAGCGTCATCGCATCGCCGTGGTAAGGAGACAAGGAATGGCGAATGAAGTAGTAAAGATTGATCATTTTCCTTGTCAAAACATCGAGTGAATGTGTCTTGCCAGTGATATCAGAAGCATCGACATTGATGCAATACGGTGATCGTTGCATTTATTCATGTCCTAACCACTGGTATTTTCAAGTTTTTTTCACACTTGTACACGCGTAACCCATTCTCCACTAAAGACAGTATCAGTGTAATGCCTTCTCGTCTTCAAACACTTCCTGATACACTAAAAGCTGTTGAAAAAATCAAAATTTTTCTATTACGAAAATGAGCGAGAACAAAACTTAACAGAGATCGCTGAACAGTGTTTAAACGCCTTGATATCCAAACTGTTAAAAATGTTTGGTATGTCCAGAAAAACACGTTAACCATGGTTTACAAACAACATGATTTTAACGCTTTCGGGTCGTTTTAACAGTCCAAATATTGATTGTTCTACGCCGTTTTAACGTGTTTTTCCGGACATACTAAAAGTTTTTAACGATTTGGTCAATTTCGATGTCAACACGTTTTAACAACCAGCATGTGCACTGTGCCATGTGCTGGTTTCAGACTGATTTAAGGGGGCGATCCGCTCCCCCTCGGTTTTTTAAATGTTTTAGAGCTCATCGAGTCACATATAACCTGTTGATGTGTCAATTCTTGGACCGATATATCCAATTTCTAAAGTGCGTTTTCCCCATAGGAGCCCAGCAGAAACGAAAAAGTATTTTGAAAGTATCCTTGCCGAAAATGTCACCCAAGAACAGAAAGGGAAAATAAAGTATCGGCATTTTTTTAACAAAATAGATGCACCATCGTCGATTGCGTATCGTGACGTTCTTTGATTTTGGAATTGTTCTTCATTAAGTCTGAAAATATGAAAAATAAATTAGGATAAAATAATATTCTGCGCAAATTTTTTTGAGACTTAACGTGTCGAAACTAGAAAATGAGATATGGTGTCTCTTTTCGTTTTCCCTTGAAACGCGTAGGAAAGCGGTCTCTCATCTTATGGTTTCAGTGCGTTGAGAAAAAAAAACTGAAAGCAAGGTGTTTTTCTAATTTCTCGTTTCAACGCTTCTACGAAGAACCAGATTAAAACGCGTTTTTTATTTTCATGTTTTGGTGAGGCAAGTCACGTAGAAAATTTGCCAATGAGTTCACTATAGCTATTAAATCTTGAAACGACTTTTTTTACATAGCAGAGACGGAGAGAGAGAAAAGGAATAATGTGCTTTTATATTTGATTCATGGGTGATGCAATATTGCAAAAAGTTTAACAACTTTTCTGGGCCTAAGTGGAAGGAATAATAGTTACAGGTTATTTCATACAACGTTGATCAATTCAAAAAACTCTTTTTATTCTTGTTTTCGAAGTACATCAACCTTTTCAAAACTTTTCTTGATCCACCGCAGTCGGATGAGGAAACGAAACGCATAAAAAATGTAATCATGCATGGAGTACCCGCAACTTGAAATAGCGAAATAGCGAAAATTACCGCTCATATATTAGATGAAAAACTTGGGAAACGGACAGTTGCTCATGAACACTTCCTCACAAGGACACTTTCTCATACGGACAGTTGCTCACGAGGACAATTACTCGTGAATACAGTTTGATTAATAATCAATATTATTATTAAAATTTGATTAGCTCAACTAGAAAATTAATGAATTTTATTTTTAAAAATACAAAGATAATGACTCTTCATCACTTGCCAATTAACGAGGAACTGTCACGTGAAGAAGTGTCCATGAGCAAATGTCTTAAACCGGAAAAATTTATTTGTTCCTCACGCCGCGTACTATCTTTCAACTGATTAAAATCTTCTTGTGAAAACTGTTTAAACAGATCAGTTTTATACAAAGCCTGATTGAGTGCTCATTTTTTCCTAAACTGTGTTAGTAAATCTGTAAACGGAAAATCTGTTTGAATAAGTAGCAAGGTTTCTCACGTATTGAACTTACCTTTTAGTCAAGACGGCGTTGGAAAGTTGATAAAACAAAATGTGAATGGAGATTTAAAAGAACATTGCTATTATAAACAGTAATAATAAATAATTAACGTTAGATATGTTGTTTTTCAAAATATTTTTCTGTCAATAAAAAGAGGATTTTCTAGTGTACATGAAAAGTTTCAAATATCGATGGTCTAATTGCTAATTTAGGTTGTAGCTTAATGATTCTACTAATTGAAATGCACAAAAATGCGTTTACAATACTCTAGGTATATTATATGCCCATTACTCGTTGAAAATACTCCTTTTTTCCACAATTTTCACATATGTGGTAGATTATAAGATTCTGAACAACTTTGTCATTTAGTATAGCATCGAAATTGGATTCTAAAAGACGGTGAGGATTTTTTCCTATCTATCTGTGTGATTTACACGGGATTATCATAATTACCCCATGAAAAATAGCTGTGTAATAGCTGTAAAGCATTAGCCGTATTCGGGTGTTTGCACAAGCTTCAACATTATTTAAGCGACAGACCAATTATTATGGAAATAGATCATCGTCCTTTGCAAAATTTTCACAAAAATTATAAATTAAACAACAAACG